CGAATGAGTGTATAGTTGATCAGCAAAGAAAAAAAAAGGAAACCTTTTCTATTTGAACTGGAGTTGTGGACATGTGTTTGCCTTTTTATTGTTTTGGGTCTTCTGGTTTTCTGGTTGCGTGATGTTGATTGTTCTGCTGTACAACTACAGAAAGTTAATTTTGCTTAAACATCTTAGGCATCAGCACAGTTCATGTAGCTGAAAGTCACTGTTGTACATGATTTTTAAAGTGTTTAAAGATGTCTGGCACATGTGCCTTTTAACGTACCTGTGATTCCATACTACAACTATGATTTAATAATTAAATCAGTTGGTGTTCAGAAAAAAAATAGAGAAACTAACAGTCAAACCTAACCAGGTACCCCTTTCACTCTCAGAGCCTGTTGCTCTTGTCACCTAAACACGCTCACCATAACTCTTGAAAGACCTGGATGACGGAAATTAACTAATGTTTAACCTACTTCATCTTGTCTAGGGTGTCCATAAAAATCCAAGGACTGAAACATATTTTTTTTTCATTGATTTAGAGTTTTAAGAATGAAAACTGATTTGACGTGGGGTGAAAACATTTTGCTGCAATGACAAAAATGAATAAGTTATTGATCTTACTTGGATACCTAACATATCAGCACCTCTTATTTGCAGTGCTTCTCAATGCGTAAGCATGCTGTGATTATGAATGCATTGAAAGCATAGGAGGACTAGACATATAAAAGTTTATTAAAAAATCTATTGAAGGTTCTGTCCACAAATTGTCATAGTGAGAACTAATACAAGGAAATCTGAGACTGATTCCTATTCTGATTTTTTTTATTCAGATGTAATTCTTCTCCCATGGAAGGCTTTTACAGTATGTAGACATGACTTCTCTAGACATACAGTATATATTTTTATCTTATAGGTACAAACCATAAGCTGAAAATGCAAAAAGGATAATTTAATCAGAATCATTTCAAACAGATTGCCGATTGCTGATGAATCATAATGGCATGGTTGAATCTTGATTGTAAAATATCCCTTTTCAATTTTTGGAACTATACATATCAGAAAGCCCTTTCCCCAGAGGTTAAACATAGATTTGGAGACTATGTCACTGGGAAAAGCCAGGAAATTTTAATGTTGGAAAATCATTACAATCCTGTTCTACCATCCCTACAGAACAAAATGACCATTAGTAAGGGGTTACACAGATATCTGTAGTTGGGATGGAAATACAGAGTACCATAAGTCAATATTCACAAATCTATTCACCTTTCAATGCTGTATATCTTAATTTCCCTGGGTGATCATTATGAAGCTAATATTAAGTTCCTCATAAATAATTTCTCTCTTTTGGTTGGTCATATTAATGTGGAAGTGAACCCACTGACACGCTTGCAGCGTTTCTTGTCAGTTGGTTGTCCAGCCACTGTCATGTGTTTGGCTGACTACAATGGGACTCTATGATACCAATCACTGCTCAGGGGTCTAAACACACACACCCAGTATTCACTCATTCGATGTCAAAAAGGCACCAGTCATTTTTACAATCTGCTCAGTCTCCATTCTGACTGCCTATCACCTGTTAACGTGTAGCTGTCTCTCGACTGATGATGACTCTTTTCAACTCCGGGCTCCACTGTAGAAAGTGTAAATGGTGCCCCAGAAGTTTTAAACAGCTACTAAGATAGCGTTCCTATTCAGTTGTCTACTTTCATTACTCAATTCGTTACAATTCATGACTCAATTTCTGT